TGGAGCTTAAAGTCAGTGCAGGCAGGAGAGCTTTGCCCCAGTGAGGACATTTCACCTGCTTTACCACTCAGAGTGAAGGAGGTGGCAGCTGTCCCACAGAGCCACCAGCAGCACACTGAGGGGCTGACCAGGCACTCCACAGGGTGTTTTCTGTGCTGCTGATATGGGAATGTAATACTGCTGTGGTTTTGCCTCTCCATGGGAGTGGAAGCTGCTCATCATGATCAGAACCACGTGGGGATGGATCCAGTTGGAGCAATCCATGAGAGATGAGCTGGGGAGCTGAGCATCTCACCTGGTGGGATTTATTACTGATCCAGCTCTTCCAGAAAAGCAGAGGGATGAATTATCTAATGGTGAGTCCACCACCACAGATCACAGTAAGTGACATCAATGTTTTAATTTGTGGGGGTGCAAGAGACAAAGCCCTTCATGTCCTGTCAGTGGTACTGGGGCTTCATGCCTCCTGCCTGATCAGCTCCAATTTAAACTCAAATATTCTGTGTCATTTTTTCTTCTAAATAACTTTACTTAAAGTATTTCTGGCTACAAAAGTCCCTCACCTGCTCCCCCACTACAGCCCCAGCCAGGAGCAGGGATGGGAGAGGTAGGGCAGAGAGAAACAGCCATTGACTGGGCAGAAACCACATTTCAGCTGAGATTTTTTGCAAGCTGAACTTTCTCAGAGCTTAACTGCTCTGAATCTGCAAATATTTGCAGTGCTGTCTCATTTGTTGCCCTTTTTTTTTTCTTTACAAGAAATATTCAAGGGAGAAAAAGGGCCTTTCTGTTTGTGATGTGGGAGGACTTCAGCAGTGGAGAGGCAGAGGCTAAGGACAGGGGCACTGTGTGGGTTACCCTCCTCCTGGGTGCCCCATAGCATCCTTCCTCCACACTAGCTGGGACCATGTGTCCCCTGGGACCACAGGAGGACTTGACCCTGGCTGCAGGGAGTTCCTGAGCCTGCACCTAGCACAGGGAACTTTTCCTGCTAAGGTGGGGAGAGAAACCATGGAAAGCTGAGCAGTGGCTGGAGCGATGCCATTGCACACCCCAGGCAGGGATGGGGGAGGGAACTCTTCTCTTCAGTGACTGCTGGTTCCTTGTATATATTTGTAATATCCCAGCCAAAGCAAACACTAAAGCTTGAAATGAAATTTCTCAGCTCATGTGAGTAGAAGACAATTCTCTGTCCCAGTGCCAGGAGGACAGTGAGTCACTGTTCATGCATTGCCACTCCAAGGCCAGGGGTCCATGAACCCACCAGAGGGTTCTAGGCTCACTCCCACCACTGCCCTGCATGGGTCTCTCCAGGCAGACAGAAGGGAGGGAGGTCTGGAAGCATTTAAAAGGTTTCCCTGGCTATAGAAAACCCCTGGGTGAGGAGATGTATTTTGGGCCCTGGACCCATGTAGAAGGAGCCCTGTCCTCAGGGTCAGAGGGTGGGAGGTGGGATCTGTGGAGCACAGAGGGTGAGGGAGGTCTGGGCCCAGCTCTGCACCCCCTGTGCTTCTGGAACTGTGCAGAAAAGGCAGGAAAATACTTAAAAGAGGAGGAAAAAATACACTCCTTTGGCCTTTCCCTGCAGTGCCTGACTTTGGATGGGGTGGAGGTTGGGATTGATGGTGATGGGGCTGTGTTTGCATCATTCCAGGAAAGAACAGCAATCAGCAATCTCCTTTACAATTTATTTCCAAAAAACCACCCCTGTTTGCTTGGATACTTCTCCAAGGAATTGACCCAGTCCTGACTTACTGGAATCGATGGGATCCTTGTTATTTACCTCAGTGATAAAAAAGAGCCAGACAGAAGTTATTGATCCTGGGTATAACTCAACAACAATCTGAGCCCTGGTGTGGAGGGCAATTGTCTTGAACAGGAACTTCTAATGGGTTTATTGGTGCAGTCAGTTCTTAAAAGAATGATTTCAGATACCTGTAACTAATAAACCTCAAAATTCAGTGGCTGCAGGTGAGAAAAACATAAAGCAAAGGCAGAGTGAGGTGGCTATATAAACACCACAATAAACTTGCTTAAAAGCCCCAGAGAGAAAAATGTCAAGGTGAAAAAACAAGTATTCATGAAGTGCTGGTGTATTTCAGTGGAAACCCTTCCTGAGACCTGCAGCAGCTGCTGCTGCTTTAGGGCTGAGCTAAAGAAAGCTCCTATGGCTGTGTGTTACTCTGTAAGAAGTGAGGTTAATTATGGCTATATAAATCTAATTTGAGCTTTTATTTACTTTTTAACTCCACTTTTTCAGCCAAATCACCAGAAGGTAAACCTCTCCACAATGAGGGTTTTGTGGATTGTTGTCTGATTGCAGGAGCTGATGCAGGTGAGGCAGACACTGGTGAGATATTCCAGAAGGGTGGAACACCAGTCCCTGGTGCCTTCCCACAGCCTCCCCAGGACCCAGAGGTGCTGTGGGAGCAGTTGCTGTACAACACACACCTGCAGGCTGGGGGAGGCCCTTAGGATCACATAGAACAGAATCACAGAATCATTAAGGTTGGAAAAGACCTCCAAGATCATTGAGCCCAACCTTCAACTGATGCCACCACACACACTAAACTGTATCACAAAGTACCACATTGACTTGTTTTTTGAACACTAGCAGGGCTGGGCATGCTGAGGGACCTGGCAGAGCTGGAATTTTCTGGGATTCAGGCAGAAGCTCCAGGAAAAGCTCTCTCTGTAGTGGTCTTGTGTGAATTTTTGCTGAAAGCAGCCAAACCAAGGAGAGGACTAAAATTCCTGTTCTCTGAGCAAGGAGTTGGGTTCTTGCAGATGTGGTGGCTCCATGTTCTGCCAGCTGGGAGCAGCAGCCTGGGCATGCCATGGGCTCTCTGCAGGGTCCGTGAGCAGCATTTCATACCAAGAGGCTCCTTGCCCCAGGCCCTTCAAAAATACACTTTATGGGAGCCCCAAAGCACTGCAGCAGCTCCTTGGTACAACCAAACACATCTGCTTTGGGTTTTCAGCTGTATCCCTTGATCCCTGCCACAGGGACTGGTGGTGCTTTGCCAACCCATTGTGTCTCAGCTGCAAACAGATGCTGTGGGCTAAAAAATGGGATGGTGTCCAAAACCAGCCCAGAATATTTAATGTCAACCTGCTAGCCAGATGTCTGTGAGGATATCTGCCCCTCTGTCTGAGTGGTTGGTGTTCTGTGGGCCTGGGGACATGGCACACCATGGATAGAAACACCAGCA